GCAATAGCCTGGAAAGAGTCCATGGCTGTGTTCTAGCAGAGCCTGGTGGCCCCTGGCACCCAACTTTTGCCCTCAGGTGACTAGAAAATCTCAGATTTTTCATACAAATCATATGCTGGGCACCCTAGCTTTTACAGCACAGCCTTGGGAGTGAAGACATGCATGCATAATATAAAAATTTATTGGGCTGGGCAGAAATCTTATCCACATGGGCCAATTGTTCAAATTGTTTGTCACCACGTTTGATGTCTTGGGAGACAGATATTTTGTCTATAAATTTATATACTGTGAAATCACACGGCAAAGCCCCCCTGGTTTTAAGCTCCCCTGGATATAACCCCTTCCATTTGCTAACAAAGATATTATTCTGGATAAAAGTCACCCCCCTTCCCGTTTATAAGTCCCTTTAATGTATAAATGCGTTCCTTTACAAACATCAAAATTTTTAATCTAAAGTTATGGGCATAAAAAAGTGGCTGTGGAGTTTGGAACAATAATATATTGATACCAAAGAAAGAAAAAAAATGTTCATGCTTACATAACAATGCTACAAGTTCTGTTCCACTGTTCATTTCCAACACAACTGTTTAACTCCAATGATTTGGAGTGACTCATGTGACTCATGATAAATGTATTATAAATGTAACTCTAAATGTAATGGTATGTCTGCTTTAATTCGTTTCTCAGATAATTATGTTTTATCTCGTCGTTCCAAAACATTTGCTTTATTCCGCTTATATGCCCCCCCCCCCAGATATAAGCCCCCATGTTTATAAGCCCACTCAAAACTGCTTATGAAGTTATGTAAGCCCAGGGCTCTAACGTGGGATTTTACGGTATGGACAGAAAGGAAAGATGGATATTTATGCCAAGTTTGATGTTGGAGGAACTGGTGCCTACAGCTGTATTTCTTTAGAAGATTATTTTCATAGCATAAAAGTGTCTTGATTCTCTTTGTTCTCATTCATGATTACATGATCTTAGACTAGTTGTTTAACCCAACTCCCACTATTAATTTGTTTCTTAGTTCATCTCAGTATCTATCTTTGTTTTCTCCCTGGAGTTAAAAGGGAATATTGTTTCTTTTTCCTGTCCAGACCCTCCCTTATAACCAAAACCCAACTAAATTCATCTTTCCAAATTTCTCATATTCACCTGATGGATAATTTGTCTAGAAAAATGATCCATTTCTAGTACAAATTTGGCCAATTATTTTTTCCTTTTGATGCAAACTGAAAGGTGGTTAACTTTAATCCAGTGTGAAGCAAATTTTAAAACCAATTTTTTTCTTCTAGATGCATAATAACTGGAGATCATATGTCCATGACATGTTTCACAATTATTTGTCAGTCATGCAAACAAAAGGGAAAACATAATTACAAACACACAAAAAATTTCTAAACATTAGCCTAGAGTTTGCTGAAACTGTCATTTGATTTACTGAACTGCCATTGTCTCCCTGATAAGGTTGGCTCTCCTTTAATGTAATCATTTATTTTAATGAGTTCCAACTGACAATGCTAAACATTTAACCCTATTGGCACCCTTGTAAATGTAGTAATGTTGGACACGAGGTCTAGGGATTTAGCCACAAAGAATCACTTCAAAATTGCTAATTGAACAACGTGTTCACAAACTATAACATAAATGGCTAAAAGTAACCCAACCTTTCCATCAGTTTTTACTTTGTTCTTTTACATACACCTTATTCGATGGTTTAGCATATAATACGTGCAGATAATTATTTTACGAGCAATGAGCAAAATGTCTGCTCGTATTATATGCTAAACCATCGAATAAGAGGTTTATTAGTCCACTACAAAAAAAAAATTATCTGGCAATTGGCTTCTATTTTTTGGTAAGAGTATTTAGAGACATCCTGATTCTGTCTGTGAGAATGACGTTAACAATTAGCAAAATGTTCGCGTGTATTATATGCCAAACCATTGAATGAGAGGTTAATTGTTTTAATGCAAAAGAAAAATGGTATTTTGGCTTCTATTTTCTAATGAGAGTATCCAAAACATCCTGATTCTGTCAGCCACAGTTGCTCCTTTTGCATCCGCTGGTATTCGCCCTGTTATAAACCGGTTAAACCAGGACACTACGGTGTAATACAGCCTCGTATTTTGCTTGTTCTCTTGACCTTATATGGTAAAATGACATAATAGTGGAATAATAATATGAGTTACTTTCGACGCCATCAACTTTCCCTCCTTTCCTTTCTTTCTTCTTCTTTCTTAACTGATCAACTAAAGGCACCTTCTCGGTTGTGTGTTTACATGGACCCCTTGTTTTTAACATGTGTAACCCAGTGATAAGCAGTTCAACTGAAGTAGCTCATACTTGGCAGACAAGAGTTGGGAATAGGCTTCTTCTCCATTAGTTACACTGTAACTAGACTATGTGTATTTACAGTAAAACACACTAAAGTGACATGGGCAACATGGCTTGAAGTGTGCTGTTGCACATTGGCAAAGCCCCAGGCAAGTCATCTGTGTAAAAACATAACCTAAGACAAGGTAGCCTGCGTCGCAGATTTAATTTAAACGTGGTTAGTAACATCTGCAAAGCAGCACCAATATCCTTGTTCTGGGCCCTCAATGAACTCAATGAATTATCAGAAATGTGTTCCGAATTTCCCTTTAACCTGATTGGCAAATTGACAATGGCTGTTTTAACTGGCCAATCATAGTGCATACTTAAATCCTGGTACACAGGTGAGGGCCCAGAACAAGGATTTCAGTGCTGTTTTGCAAACGGACTTAACCAGAAGTTAATTTTTGTCTGTGGTGCAGGCTAATGCAAGGATGCAATCCGTAAGTTTTTCTTCCAGCCCTCTCTCCAGATGACAGTAAAAATATATAGATTTTACATACAAACAGGATTAGTGGTTTACATTTCAGAGTATAAAGAAAACATACCTGTCAAATGTTTTATTTTACACAATTGATACAACCTTGATAACCATTGATAAAGGTAAGAAAGTTGTACAGTGTAGATCAGAAGAGGGGTTGTCTTAATTTGAGTACAACTAAATATTACCAAAGAAAGGAACAAGTAATATCCTGTAGGAGCAAAACTCATTTACGATACATGAGGGAAATAACCTTTAGGTGACACTTTTGAATCCACTTGCTCATTCATTCATCTGATCAGACATCTCCCGTGTTCATCATTTATTCTCACCTTGTTTTCATACTTTTTCCTATTGTCATAGTCTTTCTCTTTTCTGCTTGGTAGAAAAACAAGTTGTAAAACTAATCAAAACAAGCAAATAACTTTGTCACACCAAACTTTATTGGACCTTTTCAGTGAAAACTAATTTATTTTACCTTGAATACTCTTTTTTAAGCTGAACTTCAGCTGTCTTTTTGAGTCGTCTCCCCCCAAGGGAGCTAATGATGTCTAATAATCCCACTTCCTGAAAGCCAACTAGTCAGTTGTGTGTTTCTATTTGCATTTCATTAATATTTTGAAATGGCTATATGAAGGCAGTTACATGTATGTATTCTTGTTGGGGTGTTAAACAAAACAGCCTAGTCCTCCAAAACCAGTCAACACCACTTGTAACTTCAATGTTGTCTTGAAAATGGTTATATTAATTTTATGGGTTAGTATTCATATGGCTTCTGAAGAAGAGAATAAGGGATATTTTAATGCATGGTTTAGGAAGTACAGACATGTTATCATTTTTGGCTGCCAATGTAGCTACGTTGTATTTTGCCTCTGTTTGTATGGGGCTGTCATGTACAGATTTGAAATTTTTGAGATAAGATGTTTGTAGATTAAATGTATTCACATTGTTCTTTTTGTTTGCAATACATTGAAACTGATGTACCACTAAATTTAAATTAGAAAAAAAAACACTTTTGTGTGGACAATAGGCTCTTCCCTTGGAGTCAATTCTTCCTGCATGCTGCATGTTTTGAAAAAGACATAATGGACAATTTTATATTTTTAGTATGCAGTATTTTTTGGACCTTTGTTTCATTTAGGCACGCTCTGTTTAGTCTGCTATTCATCGTAAGGCAAATACTACGATCAATGATTTTTAAGAAAGTACATGTTAACTGGAAAGTATTACAGTAAGGAGTTCAAAAGTGTGACCTCCTTTAATTAACTCACATTCTTTCATGCAGGCATTAACCAATCAGAAGTCGAGGACAGTTTCAAGCTGGCTTCTGATTGGATTAAATCTGTACAAAAGAATGTGAATAAATCAAAAGCGGTCACACTTTTGGGCTCCTTGCTGTAATGCATGTGTGAATTAAAGGCCAAGCCTTTATTTTTGTGAAGAATTTATTGTTTAAAGACTATTGCCGTTAAAAAGGCATGATTGATGGCTTATACATTGTACAATGTACGGCAGAGGAATTCATGATGATGTGTAAAATTACTTATCCTTTACCTGTTCAAAGATTTTGCACAAAATTGCAAACACTCCTCTTAGCAGATACATTGTACAATTTCAACTGTTGTTTCTTTGAGGGACTTGAATTGCAGGGCAATGTCCCTGTACCCCACACTGCAGTCCTTGGTGGCCCCCTAGCCCAGCCTTGACCTAAATTGGCTCCCCCAGGGTGACCTTGACATCTGTTTCTAGGACTCTCATAGATTTTAAACAGAAGTATTATTCAAGATCTCAATACATCTGAAGCTTTTATTAGTGTAATATAGAAAAGCAAAACAAAATGAATTGATTTTAGACCTGCCAGTCAATTTTATTGAGTTGCTGAAAACCTGTTGGGATCAGAACTTGCTGTCATTTGTTTTCTGGAAATAAACAAGGTTGTGCTACAGTGTACAAATAGTAAACTCTTTTCCATTGAAGCACCTCTTTTTGTTTGCCTACCAGGTGTCAAAGGCCTTTTTATAGTTTACTAACTTTTATTGGACTCAATAGGCATTAATGTAGTGTTTGGAATTGAGCAAACAGAGAGGGGAACCTTTTTCGCCCTTGTTGGTGACTGATTTTTTTTGTTTCTAGTATCAGCAGCATGAGCTCTGATAATGATAGACGTGACGCAAGATTGCGTGATAGTCGTAAGGAATCCCCCGACAGATGGGGCAAGGGAGGCAGGCATGATAGTGATGCGGCTACAGAAACCAACAGAAATGATCCCCAATCTATTCGCTGTCGAGTTTTTATTGGCAATCTTCCATCCGAGATGAGCAGCAAGGAACTCAAAGAAACTTTTTCTCAATATGGCCCTGTGGTAGGCGTATCAGTTCATAATAACTTTGGATTTGTCCAGTTTGAAGATGACAAATCAGCTGATTCATCTGTTGCAAAGGAACATGGCAAAGTTTATTACGGCAAGCGAGTAGGTGAGTGAGCACCTCAAGAACTCCTTTGGCATCCTCAGAATCTACAAGACTTTTTCTTTTTCATCTCAACAGTCGCAAGCACAGCTGGAACCAAGTTTTTATGCAGGAGGGAGTACGGATTTTTCTTGGACAATCCCTGTTTTGCCTTTTTGACCTTTTATCTCTTTGTACTGTATTTTTTTTTTGGTTATTTGCCTCCAGTGCAGTTAGGAGAAATATTTTTGTTCAAAATGGACTCTGCTTTTATTAATCAAGATGTTTAAGTTCCATTTTGTCTACTGATGTAATGTTATAATCATAGTTCTTGTATTTGTGGAAGAGTGCCCTTTGTTACAGTTTAGGAAAGGAAATATATTCCAAATATACACCAGGGCCTTTACAGAAGTTGAAGGCTGTGGTTGCTTCCAATATGTGAATAATTTATCTTCATGATTAGCTCCAGGGTGTTTCAATTTGAGAGGGAAACTGATGCATAGTTTTATCATCAGCATTTCTTACATAACACATTCTTTTAAATTGTCTTAGGAAGTGCACCAAATTCAGACTGAATTAGAACAGAGAAGTTGTTCCTTTTTATAAGGTGTTTGTCTGGCAGTGGGAATTAGTCAAGTTTTGAACTTTAGAGTTTGTTCTTTGAAAAGTGCAGTCAAGGTTATAGTGCAATGTTCTTCCAACACATTGCAGTTAAAATCGTACATCCTGTTCAAACACTTGTGACTTGGTACATATGGTGTCACTTGCTTTCAACTTCGTTGAATTGATTCACGCATGGTTTTCTTTTGGCTTGTCCATTCCTTTTATCACTTCTCACTTCTCTTAAACTTGTCATTTGGTTTTCCTTGATCTACTGTATCGGAGGCAAATTGCTAGGTTGTGGTGATTGCCACAGCTAACAACCAAAGGCAGAATGGCCTAGATATCTCAATTCTCTTTTTAATCTTTAAAACAGTTGTATAACATTTATAACTTTCTTTGACTGAAGGTTGTGTTTACAGGGATGTTGGTAAGGAAAAGCTAAGCAGGCCTTTTTATTAGTCAAGCCAGGGTTGTCAGAAAGGTTTGAAGTAGATGGCTGAGTTGTCAAAGTAAGCAGCCCAGTCCAGAGATATTTTTTGAAAAAAAGGCCATCCATAAAGAAATGCCAAGCAGAGTAGCTGGCGATTTTCGCTGGCAGCTGGCTACTTTTGACAACCCTGGCAAGCTGGATTTATTAGTCAACGACAACTTCCAAACGTTTCCTCATGTCTTTGTTTTGAGCTGGTGGTAAGCTCTTTTTCAGCCTGTGAAATCAGCTGCCAGCCAGCCCTTGGAGACATTCCCGTGTTTATTTGCCGGTCTGCCACCTAAATCTAAATCAGCTCTTAGTTGCTCCAGCCAGCTCATCTCTACAAATTGTACAACATTCTAATTCTTGATGTTAACAATATTATGTCTTTTTTGTTGTAGATGTCAATTTAGCTGGAGATCGAAGAAAACCAAACAAGATGGATGACAGACCAAGAGATAGAGACAGCAGGCCACCATTTCCCTTCAGAAGAGAACGTGAATTTGACCGCGATGGTAGACCATTTAGAAGATCTCCTCCCCGTGAAAGGCCCAGGTTTGAGGACTATGACCGTTTCCCCTCACGTTTTGAGCCTCCGTTTGAACGTCGTGGCAGGTCCCCTTCTCCACCTCCACCTCGTAGAATGGATGACCGACCAGGTTATGGTCGGCACGATGATTACTACATGAGAGACCGTTACAGGGATGAACCTCCCCACCACAGAGAACCATACCCACGACAATCCTATGACCACAGGGGTGATGCGTTTGACCGGGATCGACGTGATCCATATGACTCCCCAAGGGGACCATATCCTGATAGACGAGATGATCGTTATGAACGCTATGACTCGTATGGGCATGATTATCCACGGCCTGACGATTATCCAGGTGCCGCTAAGAGACCCAGAATGGATTACAATGACCGTCCAGAGGACTCATACAGCAGTAGTAAAACCATTGAAGCACCAACAGACTGTGTCATAGTAGTGATGAATAAACAGCAAAGGTGAGTATTAATGATTATTAATAAGTTACATTTATGTGTACAGATAGAGTACATGTACACTAGTTTTGAAGCTCCTCCTTTGAACAGGTAAGCCCTTGTTTCCATCCCTCAAACTGCCTTTTCCTTCTCACTTACACTTGTATTAAATTTCTCCTGAAGTTTCTGGATTTGACCTTGTTTTGATACAACCCTTCCTGCTTTATGTCACTCCATGTTATTCTTATGCTAACTGGTTTTTTTAACAGTGATTTTCTTAAGAAAAGGAAAGAGGTTTGTATCAAAACAAGGTCAACCTCAGCCTCACATGCTCTCAGAGACTAGGGTACTAAGCTCATAACTGTGGAATGGTCTATTGCAAGCTGCAAAATTTGTGTAGTGGAAGGAAAGAAATTCCTTGAAAATTTACAAGATGATTTTTATGCGTTTTTATGTCACTCATTGTAGTAACGTTACAATAAGCCTCAAAAATTTAATGGCTGGTTATTTTAAACAGAGCTTTATTTTGATGTTTAACAAAACAACATTACATTGTGTAAGTCTTTTTGAGTTTTGCCAACCGGAACCCCCCACATCCTTGCATCATTGTTTGGTGTTAACGTAATCATGAAGCTAAGGCTTATTGATCATTACAATCCAAACTAGCGCATAAACAAACACCTTACACACAATACTGGAGACTCACAAAAATTAATATCATAGTGGCTTAAATTAGTCTACATTGTTTTAAATCACCAGTCCTTAACGTTTAGAGTCCGTAAGCAGAAACTTTTTCCTAGTAAATCAACTCTATCTTTTGCACACAATTTTGCTGTTGTTGGTAGTATTTTTGTGACCTTCAACTTTCGCAGGTGTGCAAAATCAACATGAGAGCTTATTAGCAGCTGTAGTAACTCTCGTGGTCACAGCTGTCAGTCATCTCTCTAACATTAATGTCACAGACATTTTTACATTAATTTACATGTTGTGTAGAACAGTATACAGAAAAATGTAGATGTAGTTAGTTTGCCCACATTATTTGGAGGAATTTAGTGTTGGTTTTTGAGAAGAGGGAAAACCATAGTACCCTGAGAAAAAAGGGGGTCTTGATCAGGCTTATCAATTGCTTAAGGCTACGGCTGTATTCAGTGGTATAAAAATAATAAGTAGACCTTGCAATAAATGCATTTCTACATTGCACATCTTTATTTTTGTCTTTTTATTCAGATTGTACAGTTGTATGTAGTTCTGAATAAGAAGTTGTTGTTGACCTGTAATGACTGATGTTTTGACAAACTTTTCAGAAGTCAACTTTGGAGTCAAAGTGAGTCGTATAATACCATGTGCACTTACTTGCTCGACTCTAAAGATGACTACCACACATGTTTTCTAGATGTCATTTCACTGTCAACGACAGTCCTAGTTAGGACTTACGTTTATACATGTATGCACACCCTGATGAACTTACTAAATTGTTGAACCTACTTGTGAGTGAGATAGCGTCTGTGTTCAAACCATTTACACTACACTATGTTTATTCAGAGGTTATGCAGAAATGGTAGAGAGAAGATTAAAGGCCTTGGGATTGGTAGTGGAGCTGCATTTTCATGGAACCCAACCAATTACAGAACTTCTGGATGACGTAGCTCGTCGTGGTGTGCTGTATGCCATTGTTATAACCAGTCAGCATGAGATTCATCGCTCAGTGACGGTCAACATTCTACATGGAAATCCACAAGGTAAAGATCAAAATCTCCTTGCAAGGATAAAGAAACACACCGGTAAGGGGTTCATGGGCTGAGGAGAAAACTCTAGCTTAACCCTTTAAGCCCCAGTATCCACATACAAATTCTCCACACAGCTCTATACATACATATCCTTAAAGAATAACTGGAGAGAATTTTGATAAAAAGATCAAAGCATTTCACCTTAGGCCATTATTTTATTTAGTCTCATAATCTTCCCTCTTGATTGTGTTTTGAAATTGTTGGGAGAAAATTGATGTTTGTCTCTCTTGGCACAAAAAGGTTAACCCTAAAATAAATGAAATGATATTAAGGAAAGAAGATGAAAGTGTGAGAGCATCCACTGCATCATTTATTAAGTGACTGTATGATGTTAATAATATTAGACATATCACGGAAGTGATTCATGATACAGTGTACGCTAAACATACAAGTTTGGGAAGTGGTATTATAACCACTCTGTACGCTCAGCCTAAGGATGTTCCATTAATTTAAGTCTTGGGATGTATATGTGTATTACACTGCTGTGTACACGGTGCATGGATGGCGTGCAGTTCAACAAGGGCCTGGCTTACTTTACATGTATCTTAGAATGAAATCTAAAATAGAATGACGTATCATAATATTAATTTAAATTGTAAAATGTATGATACATGTACAGCCTTCTGGGCTTAACTTTTGATCAAGTTTTTTTATGATGTGTCTAAATTTTTAATAGTGCTATCCTATCCCATCACACTCTTGTGATATGTGAACTGCCATTTATGTGGCTCTCTTTCCTAAGGCAAACACTGATTGCATGAACCTTTGTTTTTTAACCAGACAGCGGCCAAAAATTATTGACTAGCAGGGTTCTGCAATTTATACTTGTACACTGTAACCCATAAACATTGTTGCATTGTCAATGTAACCATGACAACTGCTGGACTCCTGTCATTTATTTTTTCTGTGAATTTAACTGAAATCTGCTACAGTAAAATGCATGTATTTCAGCCTTCTAGGAGCCCAACTTAAACAAACTGCAGAACTTTATTTTCTCATCATGATTACTAGTAAGAAAATTATAGCATTACCTGTACACTTCATTAGTGTTACTCGTGACGACCTGTCTATATTATGTATGTACACGAGTGTGTGCTAACAGTGTCAACTCAGTGTTAAATTTGTTTATTGCATTCTATGTTGTTTCTGTACTTTGTGCACATGTACAGTACTGTGCAGACTATTACTTTTGGGTGAACAAAACCATGCAAAATGCAGTGGTGCAGAGCAAAGCAGTAAAGAAAATGATATAGCAATACTGTTATTAACACAAGTTATTATAAAGAAACTTTGACATAGCTAACAACTTTCTTTTAACACCTAAATTTTAAAGCTTTTTATCATTGAGCAAACTTCTTTATACCTGCTTGAGCAAGCCCTTCCACCTGTGAAGCTGCCACCTGACTTAAATTTGCTGTTATGAATTTTGAAGTTTTTACCTAGGCCATTTTTATTCTTCATGCTATTCATTTTTTCACCCATTCCAGGGAGGATTTGCTCTGTTGGATTACTCCCCTCGCAGATGTCAAAAGACCTCAAACCACCCTCCCCCAAGCTGATAAGTACGAATAATCCCAAACCCCAAATTATGACATGGAAATAGCATAGGATATTATGTGAAGTCTTACATGAAGTATATACCATCAAAATTCGTTTATATAAGTAATAACGAAATTATCATCACTCAGTGATGAAGTAATATCTGGAAAATGCCCCAGAAACCATGCTATTAATAGAAAAATCGAGAGAAGAAAGGAGACTCCCAGATGATCCAGGAGAGTTGCCATATTTGCATTTGTATATGCCAGAAACTGTGCTGTGAATAAAAATATTCGCATTTTGAAGAAAAATTGGACTTCTGGGTAATCCAGGAGCATTGGCATATTCATATTGGTTTTGTTATCATGATTTATTATTATTTCTACTGTTATTATTGTTTATTTATTATTATGTTTACGTTTTTTTACAGTGAAAATGAAATCATTCAGTATTACACTTCCAGTCATTTTGAAAGTATAAAACCGAAGATTTACCTAAGAAACATTCATCTTATCAGTTTATTATTATGCTCTTTATATATTAATGATTTAGTGATTACAAAATACTCACACAACTTGTCCACTACGACGTCTTTGACCTATGACAATAATAAACCTGCTTCAAAGTCACTATAACAAACAACGACACTACCTACATACAATGCTTATACAGTACAAAAACAGTTAGGCATTTTCCGTAGTGTAAATCGTATAAGATTACTTAAGAACCATATGTCATCTTAAGTACTGATTTATTACTACCATTTTTGTATTGAGAATCACAACCAGGGAACAGTTGGGAACAGTTGTGGTGTAATAGTTTGTAAAGTGTTGTTTTGTCTGTTTATACTTGTGCGCCTATACTATACCACTTACACTGTTGGTTAGTTTATGTAATGTACAGTTCCCTCTCTAGGTTTTTATGATAATTATGTGATAATTTATTTAAACAAAGCAACGCTCCCATTTTATAAACCTTAGGGACAATTTTTATCAAACCAAGATTTTGGCACATATCTGTGTAAATGATTTATGTGTTTCAAATTATTTGTTAGTAACATACTACATTGACTGTTGTGTCATGTAATTATAACACAAGACATGTTATGATCCTTTGTCAAGCGGGACAATTAATTTTAATTGTTTTTATTTACATAGGTATTGCAGGAAGTCTTTTTTGCTTCCACTTCAGTTTGTGCTTTGTGATGGATATTGTGTCCCTTCTAGCTGGATAGTAAACTTTTATTAACAATTGATATATTCATCCTTTTAAGACAGGCACACCTTCCTTTTTTAATGCGTTATGGTATTACCCCTAGTGCTTGAGTTAGTGCTGCACCAACCATCAGTTACAATCCAAAATTAATGAAAAAGTTATCTGATATCCCTAGAAGTATTGTTTGTGTTTGACAAACTGCTGAATAGTACAGTGCAGGCCAAAACAACGCAAATGCAAAGTAGATACACGTATGGGTCAGCTTGGACGTAAGTACACCTCAGTGCTGACTAGCATCTGCGTCAGCTCATAGACGTCAGTCAGGAAAAAACTTTTTTTATTATTCGCTATGACAACTTTCCTTACTTGTTCTAAGGATATGAGAGACTTAAACTGTGATTAATTGTGATACTAAAATTTGGACGACATTGCTTAGCATCCCACTGTTATATGTAATTATAATTCTAGGTTCATACACCTGAAGGATCCCAGCCTTTTTCTTAAGAGCCTAAGACCAGAGCCAGCATATTAACAGCTGCAAAACCAGCATAAAATAAAAGAAAACTTGTATACATGTACAAGAGAATCAATAGTTCACGCTTTCCTGCTGATTTTTGGTGTTGGTCACTGTGTCATTTACTGCCTCACAATAATTTCATTCTCAGTCGAGTTTTGACATGCATTGTTACTATTGTTAGTGTATATATACAGTTGTGACTTAAATTAACCATGGGCCAAAAAAAACTTGACTCACCCCTACACACACAAAAAAACTAAGGGCAAGTAAATAATAAAATGATGATAATTATTAATAAATTACAGTAATTGATCCCCCCCCAAAAAATTGTCATACCTAAACCTCAACTGCCCAAACAATAAAAGCTATTACAGCCAACAAATGTCTAAATGAAAAGTAAATACAGTATCTGTATATATCTGTATATTTAAGTACATTAATTAATTTTTAAGAGCACATTTTGGACGTGACATTTATCAACTTTTCGCACTTGCAAAGATGTTTATTGGACGTGCTCCCTTTCCTGAGAATAATTTAGAGTTCAATGTTGCAAATACAGGGCTCGAAATTGCGACTGATATGGTCCCGAATTCACGTTACCAACATTTTCTCCTTGGCGACTAAATATTCTGGTTCAGTCACCACTTTGGCGACCAGATTTCTCTGTTATTTAGATTAAAAGTAAAAGATTAAAGGTGAAAGTAACATTTCATGTTATCTTGCTTTGCTTTCGTCATAAAAAAATGTTTACTTCCAAATTTATACCGACCTCTGTCTGTGATATTTTCAAACAATTAAATCTGATAGATTGCGCCATACTATGAGCTGCATCATTTGCATTATACAAACTGCCATTTGGTCGCCAAAAGGCGACCTTAGGATTTTTTAAATTTCGATCCCTGATTAATATGCCTGGTTCAGGCAATGAAACTCCTGAATGGAGGGTATACCCTTCTGACATTTTTGTGATTAATATTATTGTAACACTTTCCCAAGAAACCAAGTTTGATTAAATTAAAAGAATATCAAATGTATCGAAAATTACATCCCCTTCTTGTAAATCCTCAACAAAGATATTATAATCTCACAACCAGGACAAGGAAAAGTGGATGTCGGATTCAACCTTAGCTTGGCAGAAAGCACATAAAAGTGATTCAACCATGCCAAAACGAAAAAGTTTCTCATTCGTAAATACAATATGGAGTAACATTTTGAACTGAAATTGCTTCAGTTTGGATTGTGATGTTGTTTGATGCCAATTGAACTTTTTTTTCCCAGTCGACGGTTAAATGAGGGTACTTTTGCAGATACAGTGTAGTGTATATATACAGCTGTGAATCAAGATTTACTGTCTCTCCTTTGAACAAATCTTTTCCAAAAATTGACAGTGTAAGTGACTTCTTCAGGGAAGCTCAAGAAAGCAGCCTTTACATCCTCTTTTCTTACACTCTGTTTTGACTTTGAGTAATTGAACTCCAAAGATGTGTTGTTAAATCAAGTTTAGTTTATTTATTTCCATGAACATTTGGTCTCAGCAAACATTATTTTGACCAAAAATATTAGCTGGCAGCATTGCCTATTTGGGAAAGATTCTTAATTATCTGAAACACTGTTTCTGTTCCATGTAAATATTATTTATTTTTGTAAGTCAGTTAATTCTAATATACTCAATTTTCCCAGGGTTAACATGTGATTAAAGTTAAGCCTGATTCACCCCTTTAACATAATGTTAACAACAAAATGACGTAAACGTACAGAAACGAAAAGAAATTTTATTAGTTTATTAGTTTCATATGGAGGGGAACCGTTTGATGAGTCATGGAGTTCATCTTGCAGAATCAGTTGAACTGCAATGAATGCACTTGGCCGACATTTTGGGTTGTAATATACTGTTTTCACAAGTTGATTTCTGTCAGTAAACAAATAAGTGTGAATTTAAGATAAGAAAATGAATTCTTTACTTCTTGAAAAGGTTGGCACTTATGTAATTCCTTACAAATCAGTGGTCCTGAAGAAAACTAGAGAGTGTAAAATTTATTCATGAAATCTGAAATTCTAATAATGAAAGGACGTGGCAGTAATATTAAAAGCTATTTGCCAATTTAGAGTATAAAAAGACTGTTAAGATATAACAGGTACTACCGGTTCTTACAAAGACAACACTAGTGGACTCATAGATAATATACCTTCCCTTTTTTTGGCAAGAAAGGTTCCAGTTAATAGGCAATGCAATTAAATATAGATGTGTGCTTTTCTTGGCATGACAGTATTGTGGTATTGCGTTATTCTTGGAATTTCTTTTTACCGTTTTTTTCCTGGCCCCTTTCCACTTATTATTATGATTATTATTGTTGTTGTTGCTTAATTGTAGTTGTTTTACTATTTTTATAGTAAACGTTATTGCTTTTACTGTTACATCCCTCTCTATTTCAGTTTAATTCTTAGCCTAGTTGATCCTTGAAGTACCAGGTCCAAACATGGACTTTGGTTACCAAAGAGTTCACTTAATTGATAGAACCCCTGTGCGAGTTCTTGTTGTTGTTGGTACTTTTTTTTATACTAGGCTGCATGGGCATTCTTCCGCACTGGGGTTGGGTGTGTTTTTTTTTGGCTGAGCAAAAAATCTCCATTATAATAATGTTTTTCTCTAATATCCACATTTGTATTGTATTATCTTCCTATTTCAACTGCTCAAGTTAACGGGTGTGGTTTACGCAATGTAGATCTTATTTTGTTGATGCACTGAATACATGTACTTTACAGTTTTTATTGCCTCCTGGGAAGATTGAAATGAACTGTCAATACCACGGTTCAAGTACACAAATTCTGCATTCGAGTACACCAAAACTGCACAATGACAAGTCATTTTCTAGATTTTTCTCCGGCATTTGCCCCCCAAATTGTCCCAAAATTGCGGGTGTTGCATAAAACTTTTTTTTACGGGAAAAATAGCACGTAAATTTGCGGGACCTAAGTAGGTCCCGTATCCTTGCTACTGAGAGGTGAAAAAAAAGTTTCTTTCTTTACATACATAATTTCATTGTAATCCGCTTTGTTAACCTCTGATGTATACAACCTCTCATGTAGCCGTCGTTAAGAAAAAAGTAGAAGAACAAACATTTCCAGTAAATATTGAAGTAAAATAACGACTGCATGCAAACCTTATTTCAATGAGACGCTTAAAAGTGTTCGAAACCACTAGACACATTCTTCACTCACTTATCGTTAGCTTCAAAAAAATAGAGGGAGTCGTTAATAAAGTATTATAACAAAGTTACGTGTGAGCACGCAAGTTACCTCGTAAAACTGAAACTGCGTTCCATGCAACACCCGTTATTGTACCCATAGCAGATTCGTAAGTGACCTACTTAAGTGAGCACTAAAGTGCAGGTCTTAATGCAACCGGGCCGAGGTCCCTACCAAATCCGCCACAACTTTATCATTGTTATCGTAGCAAGTACACGTTTTTTCGCAGACATCAATTTCCGTCATCATTGTGATGTTCACATTGACTTTTTTTTATCGTTGTTGTAATATGGTTATATGTCTCAATGTCGCAGAAAAAAAAAATTGGGAGGGGCAAAAAACCCAAAATTTTCTTCCCTTTCTTTTGTTGTTTAAGTGATTGCTTGAGACAGTACAATCCTGGCATTTCTTCCTTCCAGTATATTCTGTCTTTGTTATTATTCTGATTCTTTTCATTGACAGCTTCTGGGCACGGAAAGACAGGAGGTTCTGTTGGCAAAACTATTGGGACATTATTACCTTTCAGGATTTGTCCTTTTTACTCTATTTTTATCTGAATCCAGCTTTTAGTCCAATAGTTTTTTTTTTCATAAACGTTCCCCCTGTTCTTCTTGCCGGTATATATTTTCTTCAAAAAGTATGCAATCTTCCTTGGATTGTATGCAGACTTTAGGTTTTGTCAGGGTGAAAAAGGAAGTGGGTAAGGGAATCAGAGAGAGAGAGAACTGTTTCAAAGTAATTGTCAATAGTGCAGTTCTTGTTTTGAAAAAATATTTGAAACTCTAAAAATTAACTTTTTAGCACGCAAAGGCGTTGTTTTCTTAATTGGTTGACCACTATGATAGTAACAGCAGGAAAGTTCCAACTGGAAATTAGGATAAAAACCAAAGCATGAACAAAAAGAAAACAGGCCTTTCGTAATTGGTACAGAAACCGTCATTTTGATACTCCAGCTGTGTAATTGATCAACTTGTAAATTTGCTGGCAGTAGATGTGATCGATGACCACGTTCACAGGAATGCCATAGCTTGTCAACCTTTTGCTATGTTGTTTCTTGTTTCACCTTCCAACCCATTTTATCTCCATACAGAGCATAGAAACATGCCTCTAGATGATGCTATGAGACTCGTGGGACAAAATTTCGATCAATACATGCAAGACCTTCGTGAACGAGCGAAATCTAGCAACACCCAAGAAAGTAGCAACACCAAGACAACGGCCCCCCAGGATACCGCGAAGTCGGACATCACGTCACTCCTTAGTAAGGCAGCCAGTGGTGAAGACCTTTCGGCAGATCAGCTAACAAAGCTGATTGACAATTTGTCCAAACGACAAGAACAAATTTTGGGAGACTCCGCAGCAGCCAATGGCAAGGGAGGTAATGACGCAACATATTCTTTTCCTGCACTCAACACAGTTCTTCGTGAAAGATAATCTTTTTATTTCGGTTACTTCTTATTTGTTTGTCCTCGCAACTGTTCAAGGTTAAGAATGCAGTCTGTTCAAGTACAAGTGGATGTGACAACATTAGCGAGTCACTGCGGGCGGTTAACGTTTGTTTTATTATACTGTGCGCGTGACTGGTCCTTAGCCAAAACTACTTACTTTTTATGAAAAAAAAAGTACGTCATTGCTAAAACATTTTCCATCATATACACTACTACAATTGAAACCGTCTATGATGCACATGACCTTAATAATGTTCTAGCGTTACAAAAGGCGTGCAAAACTACTTCCTCAAAAAGGAGTCTCTGGGTTGTTTCCATTAAATCCTGGTTGAATCCTTTTATGGTCAGTGGTACTGTAAGTTCGTTGAATTGATTGTAACGGGACATTTTCCAGTTCTTAATGCAAAGGGGGTGTCACAACAATACAAAAGAAATATCTATTACATACCAATACCAGTTCTACCTACTCTTTTACAAACAACTGGTTTAAATTATCTACTTTTATTTTCAAATTGCACGTTTTGAATCATTCCACAAGCGAATAGTTAAACAATAATACTTCTCTCTCCCTCCAGTAAAAGTAAAAAGAAATGCTCCTCGTGTGAAAAGAAAAAGAAATGCGTTGATAAACGTGTATGGACTTAATTTTCTCCAATAATGGCAACCACCCGGCTTTTTTGCGGTCAGGTCTTTTCACGGTTACTTTGGACGTTACAAACTAGGTTCTTTTGTTATTGTTCTGTTGGAACTTCGCAAATGTTTGTGCTCTTATTTAAATCTACTGATAATTACTTGTACTTGAAGACAAGTTCTCTTTTTGCTATCGTCGGTTTCTATTCACAAGCAAACGAAGTGGGTTTTTTGCATTGGATCAAAAAGTTGAAGTTAAAAATATCACAAATTAAGGCCATTAGGCATGACGGAAATTGTCATCCATTGGCTGTTTTTGCTTTTTTCGTTCTTTTTGCTCAATTAATAGTTACTCATTGTTCATCTTGGTCCATTTGCACCTACTTTCTCGCCAGGCGTTACAGTTAGTCAATCCAGTCAGCCAGCCGTGGATCCTCAGTCCATTGCCAAACAACAAGCTGACCTACAAGCGAAGATATTAAGCATTTTGAATCCTGGTGGTGGTGCTAAAACCGGCAGTATGCAGAACTCTGGTAGCCTGGCATCTCAGCAAACAATTTTACCAAGTCAGAAACAAGGTGCTGTCACTGCACCTGCTTCCCAAGGTGCAGCAAAACCAGCATCACTGAGCACCACAGTGAAGCCAATATTTCCACTGTATCCAACGCAACAGAAACCAGCTGCTCCTGCGGCTAGCACTGCAGGGTCAGCAGTCAAAGCTCCTGTGGGCACCGCAGCAACAAAGCCTTTGTATTCCACTCCATCGAACCAAGCATATAAGACGGCGTCACCGTACAGAGCCACTGCTCCTGCAAGCTCCTACAATGCAATTGCAACTGTGGCAGGAAACCAAGCTGGATCGTATCAGGTCAGCAAGCCAGTGTCCCAAAACACGTATACATCGGTGTCGAACCAAGCTACTGCTGCTTCTGCTTCAAGTGCTGTGTATGGTGTGAAGACATCTGCTGCCCCGGCATCCCAATCCAATTGGTTACAGAGGATTAGTCAGCAATCATCAGGCACTTCTGCAGCAATCCCTGTGGTTTCTAAAGTCAGCCCTGGTGGAAAGGCGATTACAACAGCTGTGGGGTCAAGACCTGCTGTTAACTCGGCACCACGTGCAGGTGCGCCAACTGCAGTCGGTGGTGTAAGACCAGTTCCCACCGCAGGTGGCCAGATGAGAACTCCTTCTCCTGGTTTGCTTGGGCCGCCTCCTGTAGGAACACCGAGGTTTAGAACATCTGGAATTGTAAGGACCCCAACATCTTCAGGGACGCCGGGCGTGCGGATGGTTGCTCCAAGAGGCCCTTCGCCGGTTGGTCGGGGCGTGGTCAGGACGTCTTCCCCGGCCGGTTTACAAGGTCAGACTGTTGCTTCTCGAGGAGGAGCAATCTCAGTTCGAGGTGGAGTTGCCGGTGCAGGTGGAACCTCTGCCACAGGTCGTGGAAGTTTTGCCACTCAAGCCACCACCCCAAGAGGTGGCTCTGCGCAGAGAGGTGCTGTTATTGTTCGTGGCACTCCTACTCCTCGGGGTGCTACCCGTGGTGTCCCAGCTACTCGTGGTGCCCCGTCTACTCGTGGTGTGCCTCTGGCTCGTGGTGTGCCTGTGGCTCGTGGTGCTCCTGCCACTCGTGGGGCTCCAGCACCTCGTGGTGCCCCTGTCTCATCCAGTGGCGCTCGTGGTACTCCTGTTACTCGTGGTACACCTTATTTGCGCGGTGCCCCTACTGGTCGTGGTACTCTGGCGACTCGTGGCTCTCCCATAGGTACAATAACCTCCAATCGTGGTGCTCCTCGAGGCAGGCCAATGATGCGAGGCGGACCTCCATATCGTGGTGGGGGACGCGGCGGATATTGATAAACATAATAGGGATGCTGAACGTTTTTTAAAACGTGCTTCAGGAACAGTGATTGTTGTATTGTTAGAATATTTTTTTTGCCTTCATTTTCCGTGTATTCTGCCTCTGGGGCCTTAAAATACCAAATTTCAAGGAGTTTTTACACATCGTGTAGTTTTAAGATACTTACCAAAACGTTTATCGTGGCTGTTATTAGAAACTTGCTCAACGACAGTTTCATGTTAATTTTAGTTCGTAATTTTTATCGTCTTGTTTGTTTTTATCAAACGGACTGTCCTTTAGTCTAATTTTCGAAATGCATTTGTAATATCTTCTTCAAGTGAGAAAGTCTTTCGCCGAAGAAATGTAATAGTGTTGTTAATCGGGTTTTATGTCGCTCGTAGTAATACCATAATTAAATTTAGACAATGGCAATGCGGATGATGTTTGCATAATTCTTTTAGTTTCCTTAAACCACAACCTGAAAATTAGCGCAATGAATGCGTGTGTAATGCCACAGTTTGTACGTCAGAGTCGCTGCTATTAACTTGAATCCTTATGGATTAAAAAAGATTGTTAAGTCACGACAAGTGTTAAAGGTTAAATTGCACAAAACTGTTTTTCTCACAGAGGGCAGCACAAATGTGCACCTGATTGTATTGTATAAGCGATATCAAACAATATTGCTGTGTCTGACCGAGAAAAATCCATGCAAATGTCCAAGTTGGATAGGCCCTCTACTCCTACGCCCACTGAATGTCCAGGCTGTGTAGGCATGAACGTGGTTAATGAGTTATAGAATAGACCATTTAACAAAGAGTTAAAGGCCTCTGCTAACGACAAAGGTCAAGGGGCAGCCTTCGATTAAATCTACCTGAGGCAGTGACGGGATTATAATGGATATTGGTTGTTAAAGTACTTGGCTTATTGGCGACAAAGTGATAACAAAACTAAGAAAGCCAAACTAAGAAAGTGTTGTGTTGGAGATGTCTCTAACTCGGGGTCGATTCCTTTTCGATTGCGCGAAAAGCATAAATTATGCTGCGGCGTCATCTCGCAAAAGTGGGACGGTTCTAAATGCAAGAGTGCGAGATTAAGAAAAATCCGGAAGGAATATATTAATAACGACATAAGTTACTACTTAAAAGTGTAAGCTCGTGTGTTTGCAACACAGGTAGCTCACCAAAGGTTTTGAGGGCTGCGAAATCAAAAGTTCTTCGTAAATTTAGAACAGTATTTGTCGCTTCGTCGCCTTCCGGTTTTTTTTAGCTTCCTTGAAGTCAGAGGATGAAAAAACCCTTTTGTTAACAAGTTGTGAAAACAAATTGTACCTCATTGACGTGGTTGATCGTTGGCGGTTTGGTTGAGTGTCGATGTATTTAGCAAAAAGTTCTACTAATGAAAGACACTATTTTTGTCTCCCACTGAACCGCGTATTTTTTTTTTATGTGGTCATCCGAGCCATGCGAAGGTCTAGCCGTTTGTAGAGCCAAGACAATACCGTCATTTCTTCGTTATTTTAAGACCCTGAGTATTGGTCCTGCCTCGGGGATCGAACCCTCGTCCTCCCGCATTGCAGTCAAGCGCTCTACAGATTTAGCCAGTGCATTCCGTTGAACTTGCAATATTTCTTAATTTAAAATTTTGGGTGTTTACAATTTTTATTGCTTAATAGTCTGCACTCGCAGAATCTCCATTATTATTATTATTTTTTCTATCGTAAGTAGTCATTCCTTGGCTATTTATTTTGTTTTGGGGTTATTGTCTTTGATTGATCAGGAAAGGGTTAATACCGCTTTAGGTACTCGACTAAAACAGTTTACCGAAACTCCTAAAAGCTCATTTACAGGCGTTACTTACTAGTGAACTATATACGAATTGATGGAGGGAAGGTAGTGGAGATTACGGGAAAGAGTGACTAATACGTTAGAATGATATCGGTTACGTTTATTACAAGTTGCCGAAGAGCCAGGTCAAGACTGTTGTCGGTCGCTTTCCTGGTGGACAAATTCATGGCAAACATTATACACATAGCATTTAACAAACGATCCTTTCAACACTTACTGACAACAGCAATTTTCTTTAAAAAATCATATTATTCGAAGAGGAAGGACTTCTGCTCCTGCAAATATTAAATTGTAATAAATTTCCGTCAGTAGGGTGCCTAAAGTGCATTCAACTCCACAGGCGGCCCTGAAATGTTATATCAATTTCATAACACCTGGAAGAGCCATCCAAAATGTTTGCACAGTTACTTACGTGCGTATCACTAAGGACATGCATATCACAAAGGATTTTTAATTCTATCCGTGACAGAACAAAGTTTACCTTCACAATAACAACGACAAAGCAGCCGCTATGAATTTTGCGTAATTTCTGAAACAGTATCCTATAAATGTGTGATAACCGCGGTATTGGTGTGAAACATGTCCCACTCTTGCTTACTTGTGAACTTTTCATCTTCTCCATTTACTCAAGAAGTTATACACGCCATAATACTTTAGGGGCCAAAAACTCAGACACATTTAGATATGGTGTAGGTGAAGGGGGGGGGGGCGGCGGTGAGGGGTTCAACCAATCGTCTTCTCAATTTGGTCAAGTGTGGCAAACAGCCCTTTGCTGTATCATTGGTGACGCCATTTGGGAGTTTGTCCCGTTGGGTACCTCTTTGATACCAGCTCTGTGTCCGGGCTTCCCGAAGCCACCAGGCTCGCTCGACGAGGTAATTACGCAAGTTTACACAAATTTTTCATAGTAACGTCTTGTTGTAATAAAATATCTTTTTTGCGCTTCTGTCTTCCTGTTATTGGTGTTCTTGATCCATTGTTGCTCCAAAGATGAACGTCAAGCACAAGGCAATGCCCGAGCCTCACCCGACCTCACTGCTTATGTCATTTTAATACAACCCACAAGGAATGTGAACGTTCTTGAAATTAAAAAATGTAGTCGATATCCTCTGCTAAATGCCTAGCAATACATACGTTGGCATTAAGATTCTACAAAGTAAAATTCAGCTGAGAAATCCACATTGTAACGTGGTAGTTTCTTGGTGTTACGGACGGGTGCAATCACCAAGTTATGTGATATAAAATATTGAAGACACTGACTAATACCCACTGCACAACAAAAAAGCGAACTATTATGGTTTGCACAACACCAAGATTAGAAATGTAACTTTGATAAAGCGTTTGGGCGTGGTTAGTAGAGGAGACTGATTAGGAAAGCCAGCAAACATCAAAGTTAAAACTAACGGTGCTGAAGTTAATGTTGGAAGCTCCCTGACCGTGCTTTTTGTTCACAACTTGTGACTGAACAAATTAATGCGATGTTGCTATTGGTCAGTGAGTTCAAAATGATAGGAATGCTATTGAACGTTGCGCACGGTCAGGTCCAAAAAAGCTAACAAACAAAAGGGTTTAACGGGTTTCATAACCATTCCACTTTAATAACTATGGTCTGGATTAAGCATTTGAGCAGATTTTCATTGCGTCACACATATAGAGAACTCTCGCTTGTGATTGTGAAAACGTGACTTATCCACCAGCGAAATGGCAGAAATACAACCTTGACTTACTCCCCTCACTTTAGTCCAAGCGTGATTGACCCATGAGATAAGAGCCGTGTAATCAAAATTTCTAATTGTAAATTGCCAAGTACCGTTATACACTAAGAATATGCAAACAACCGAAAAATTAGAAGAAAGGGGGTAAATTGAAGCTTGGATTATGAGAGCCAATTCTGACTTTTCTACTGGCAATCGATAGATAAAAGTGTCGGTTTCCATTTGCCTGTTTTTTATTCATGATAATGGGCTCACCTTACGCCGACACGAAATGTTTACTTACAAATCCTCGCTCCATCTCTTACCCTCTTCTCTCTCCTGTATTCCCTTGCACCCCTCCCCCCTCCCGCCCAAGGACCTCACAAAACATTATTTATATGTGGGATGGATTGTACAAGAGTTGTAACCTGTTGTCGTGGTAAGTCCTTTTTTTTCTTTATTTTGAAAATCTATTTGCCTGTTGAATGTTATCCTTTAAACACCGTCGATACTTACAAAGCAAGGTGTTTAAACGTGTACATTTGAACAGTGAAGTTACTGAACTGTAAGAACCTAATATTGCCGGTGTGGTTTTGTTATTTGTGCTCTGGTTATACTTCTGGTTTACTTAGCCTCTCTTTTGTCTAGTATTAGGTAATTCACTGGACAGTGCTTGAATACCGGTTGCAAATTATTCAGTTGTAATTAACGCTCAAAATTATTTCTTCATTGATATTTAAGTGGATTAGGGTCCTGGTTTGAATTTGAACCATCCGTGCAATATTTTCCATTGAAACCGTCTCCACCTCCAAAGTGAGATAAAAAAAATTCTGTACATTTGAAACAAAAAAGTAACTGAACTGTAGCACGATTATAGATTTGCAGGTGTGGTCGTGTTATTTGTGCTGTTAGACTTTGTGCTTGAATACCGGTTGCAAATAGTTCCTTTGTATTTAACTCTCAAAATTCTTCTTTCCATCGATTTTTACCTTGTTCTGTCACCTCAACCTGAAATAAAGTAGAAGCTTGGCTTGAGCCATTTCCGAATATTCTCAGCTATTGAACCCGTGTGCACCTACAAACCATAAAAAAACCCTGTGCAATTGAGACGATCCAGTAACTCTACCACGAATAAAGTGAGGGTGCAGTTGTGTCAATGGCTTATACTCAGGGCTCAATTACGTCCAGCCTCTCCCTCGACTAGTTTTTGAATCATTAACTGGACTGTGCTTGAATACCGGTTGCAAACTGTTTAGTTGTAGTTTACTCTGAATATTTTTTCTATCGATTTTTACCGAGCTCTGCCTGTCTAACCCGAAATTTGATCTTTCAAAAAATATTCACAAAGTCGGTACGGCAGAGTTACCAACCAACATAAGGATGTACATAACTGACATTGTAGTATGTGTGAATATTTAGGTCTACCGTCCCCACCCCCCATGTTTGTATTATAGAGCATGCGCTTTGACTGTTATGAGA